GAGTTGTAATTAAGTTTTCAGTAAATTCTAGAGTGTAGTTATTAAGGAATGGTATCTTACTAAACTCATCACATACTGTTTGTATTTGGAAAGAAATTAGAAGCATAAAAATGGAGTAGTGAATAGGTATTGGACTATATAAGTGTAGTTTGAAGGCTATATGATTATAATGATAGGAATATGAACGTTCAATTTTCCTTGAAACGTCATCCAGTAGTTGAATACTGCATTACTGCCTGCTGGCTATATTAAACAAATAATCTAATAAGGTATTATACTTTACCGTAGAGTTCAAGTTTTACTGCTACATGATATGATTATATCACCTTCTTTTGACACATGAGTAATATTGGTTTTACAATCAAGGCTATTTTTCATGGTAAGACTAACAACAAGAAACATATACTATCTCATTACAAAGTATCAAAGAATTTCATCTTCCGTATATAATTTTATCTTCCGTCTTTTTCTGTCATCGTGTAGAACTGTGACTAAGTTTTTTTTGTATTTTTCTCTTATTATCTTGTTACATTGGTCTCACCTTACTTTGATAAACATTGTTTTAAATCTCAAAGTAGTGATATTTTGTTACACTTATAGTCAGAAAATACATCGAATATACGTTGAAAAGAAAGTTTTAAATGTATATAGATGTATCAAAAGTGTTGAATTTTATACCGTCAGTAAATTGATCCACAGGATAGAAGGATTCCAGAAGAATTTTAAAAGCATATTAAACAACATACTGTACTTTCACTCATCGAGATAACTTCCAGTGCCTTGAATTCACTGTGAAACTACTTTAGATTCCATCTTACTGGAGGTCAGCAGGTAACAGAAGACCACGAACCTAGTTTCATGCTAGTTGCCTGCTGACACTTATCAGCAAAGCATTTTAGGAGTCATGGAAAAAGTGGTTTTCCTATGATGATTTGCTTACTTATAGATCAGTGCTCTAGCCAGAGACTATCATAAACCATTAAGGCTACAATTCACCCACTGTGAAGTGTGCTTTTCAACTGTAGTTAGTCACTGGATAGAAACCAATGTAACCATTAAGTTCTAAGTGTTAAGGATTCACTGAAATGTTTTGAAAACATTCACAGTGCAGTCAGCTACCTAACTGGTTGGATATTACGATGAATTGCATCTTAATGTCGGCGAGAACACCATTTTACTTATCACCGAAGTCATATTTTCCTGATGAATCCATTGCAAACATAATAAGTATTTAAAGACAAGCTTTATACTGATCGAATTCCAGCATCTTACACTTAAAAACAGTGCATCATGGTGTTATATTCGGCTCAGTGAAAACACCGCAAAACCGTCCAACAGTGCCTTGAGTCCTCAGAACTTAGGATCCAGCAGTGATTAGCTGGTCAAGTCTTCATGTTCAATCAGAAAGAATTGAATAAACAATGTCCATCTCCGGAGTCATCCTTGCCTGGTTAACTAGTTCATTAGTTACTAGCTGGTCCTAAGCCCGGGTAAAAAAAGGGAGGTTGGGCATAGGGCTAACAACTCTACCCAGGAAAACCTATCCAACCACTACAGAAACTTCAAAGCACAGAATAAAAAAATAGAATAAAAACAAAATTATTCCTCGCTGGGATCGTAGAGGCAAAAGCCATCAGGAAGCCAGTTGGCCTATATGTCTTCGTCTCTCTCGATGAAAAAGAAAGTAAACATGGGGACATAGTATAACCGCAATATATTTGAACCTAGCAAGGCCGCCCAGATTGCCTAAGAGATGAAAAGATATAGCATAGAAGTGCTAGGAATCTGCAGATGGAATGGAAGTGGACTCTCCAAGCTTTCAAGACCCGGATTTTCAACTGCAATGTCAAGTCAGTGCTGCTATGTGGTTCACAGAGAAGCATTTCCAAAAAACTACAGATATTCATCAACAACTGTCTACGCTGGCTCGATAGTGAAGATCAGATGGCCAGAATAACAAGAATAGGCAACAAGGAACTCACTCTGGGAAAGAACCAACAGAGAAGCAATCGCTCAACAAATATGCAGAAAGAAGTGGAGACGGACTGGGCTTGCACTGAAAAGACCAATGGGGGATGTCACACGTCAGGCCAAGCCTGGTCCTTAAGTGGAGCCCAGATGGGAAACGGCGAGTTGGGCGTCCAAGGATGATATGGAGGAGATGGTATTAGGAAGAAACGAGAGCTGGTAGGCAGTCGTGGTGCCAGGTTTAAAAGATTGTAGAGAAGAGAGTGGAATGGAGACGTACTAGTGAATCTCTATGTTCCACTAGGAACCCAAGGGACAAATAATAATAACAAATCTCCGGAGTCAGTGACCAACATGAGCACTGTCAATGTTCTACGGATTCAGAATGCAGGTAATTCAAGCTGTCAATTTCAATATAGGATTTCATTGTTAGCCACCCCTAAGCAAATCATGAAATAAAGGATAACCAAGAAATTTCTAGGTTTCCACATACGAGGTTATAAACCAACAGTTGTCGATCTACTGGATTCAATGTAACGGCGGGAATCACATGTATTAATAAATACACCTTGTAGGTTGATGAGAAACTGTTCTTATCAGTGATGGACATAACATTCACGGTATCTACGACATTTTTTTACACTAACAAAGATGATTTATTAAGCTGAACTGCTCAGAGCAATGTATAAGAACACAGACCACTGATGTCTTAAAGAAACCGTAAGTTTGTTCATAATACTGTAGATCTTCAATTATTAATGCGGTTATCCGTGTCCTATCAAAAATATCTCATTAGACGTTAGTAACGCAGCAAATGTGATGAATATTGACAGTATAGATTTTCACAGATGTATACACAAACTAAATCACTTAAACTGAAAGAAAAAAAGAACTATACAGAAGTGAACCATTACATGATAACGTAGAAAAGGTTCAAAGTATTTGCACTGTTCTACAGATCAAGCCACTCATATGACAGACAGACAGACAGACAAATAAAGTCTGCATATAACCTCACACAAGTTCATGGCTTCACATTACCACAATTCATATCAGTATACAAAGAGCAAGTGGATATAAGAGACTGATATTAAAGTAGACGATGGTGTACCGGAGGAAAGAGAATTTCATAAATAAGATTGGCCAAAACATTGATCTATGCCATATTATGACTGATTTCTAGCTCTTTCACTAAGAGCTGTCAATCACTGATCCCTGTTATCTCCAAGATCCTGGTCAGTCGGTCTACACCTAACTTCGTGACTCAGATAAGGAGTCCAGGACTTTATCTGTTGATTCCCGAGCCCTCAGCTAACCTAGTCCAACTTCCTCAGTATGGCATATTGAGGAAAGCAATGGCTTGACGTGCCTTATGCATATCAGAACAGCCTAACAAGATGATATCCATGTCACCTGTATATGAAGAGAAAGTATTATTTGAAAAATCATTTTTATTAAAGACCATTATCTGCATATAATGGGAAGCTCAGTGATGCTTTTGAAGTGAAGACAGGAGTGAAACAAGGTTGCCTACTATCCCCCATGATATTCCTTATTGTGGTGGACTGGATCATGCAGCAAACAGTAGGCAGCGAGAAGAGGGGGATACGCTGGACTGCGGAAAAGAACCTAGAAGACTTGGATTTCGCCGATGACTTGTGCCTAATATCACATAAACTTGAAGATCTGCAGGCAAAACTAACAAGTTGATAGAAGAGGCAGCGAAGACGGGACTTCAGGTGAATATAGAGAAGACAGAAGTGATGAAGATACCGCACCAACAACCCCAACAACACCAACAAACTCCAGTCACCATCAACGGGAGAAACTTGAAGGAAGTAACCTCCTTCACTTATCTAGGAAGCACCGTTTCAACTACAGGCGGGACGGACGAGGACGTCAAAGTCAGAATCGGAAAAGCAAGACAGGCGTTCATTAGCCTGAAACCAGTATGGAGATCTTCTGTACTCAGCATGTGGAACAAGATCCGGATTTTCAACACCAACGTCAAGTCAGTGCTCCTGTATGGTTCAGAGACTTGGCGCGTCACGAGAGGGATTTCCAATAAACTACAGACATTCATCAACAACTGCTTACGCTCGCTACTGAAGATCAGATGGCCAGGATAACAAGAATAAGCAACAAGGAACTCTGGCTATCTGGCAACGAACCAATCAAGAACCTATCACTCAACAAATATGCAGGAGGAAGTGGAGATGGATTGGGCATACACTGAGAAGGCCGACTGGAGACAAGACGCATCAGGCCAGTTGCTTGAGTGGAATCCCCATGGGAAGCGACGAGTTGGACGTCCGAGGGTGACATGGAGGAGGTCGTGCGAGGAGGAAATGAGAGGTTGTGGGCTGTCGTGGGACCAGGTTCAAAAGATCTCAGAGAACAGAGGTCACTGGAGGCGTGCTACTGAAGCCCTATGTTCCACTAGGAACACAAGGGACTAATAATAATAATAATTATCTGCATATATACATTCTAGATGTAAACTTTAGCAAAACAGCAGTTTGACAATTAAAAAACTATTTAGTCGTGAATAATATTGATAAGACTTCTATATGGATTGTTCAAATGTGAAGACAGAATAGAGTGAAACAAACTATAAACACATAGACTGGTATCTTTGAAGTTCACCGAAGTAATAGGAAATTTTGCTATCTATAATAATGATGTATACAATATCTTATGAATGTGGCCTAAAGTATCAAAACAATTTTTTGGCAACTTTTGATGTCAAAATTTGTAAATTTTTGTGATTGGAAACAAACCTGCATTATATATATATATATATATATATATATATATATATATATATATATATATATATATATATATATATTAACAAACAGGATATTACAATTAGACAAGGTACTGGGAAATCAAAAACTGAATCCTATCTGTACTAGAGAACAACATATGAACACAAATTAGAAACTAACCAGTGAAAAAAAAGGAAGCAATAACCAAGGCAACTTTAAATAAAAGTTCAATGATGGCGTCGTAATTTAAAGTTAACTTACCGTTTTCTCTATACGATAGTCACGAATGAATGCTTCACGAAAGGTTGGTCTACAAGACACTGGAACCTATAAAAGTGATTAAAGACAAATACGAAACTAAAAATTATAATATAAATAGTTAGTTATCAAAAATTTGAAAGAATTAAAAAGAAATTAATAACCCAGAAATGTAACAAATTCTGGTTGTAAATGATAGTGGTGGTTGGGTATTCCATGAGTTTTGATAGTTTATCTTGGATCATTCATCAATAGACTTTATGACATCTTTAGTAGCACCAACTTCACAAAGAATTGAAACGTATTCAAATTTTATATGAATGTTTTGGTAGTGTTTCTTGCACTGACCTTGAGTGTTGTTCATCTATAAATTCAAGACGATATGATTGTCATATCTTGACCTATTTAACCTCAAATTTCACTTGACTGTACTGATAAAGAACCAGTATTGAATGATCAAGTTAAAAATAACTCTGGAATTTAATAAGAGCTAACTAAATCACAAAAGAGAAACAATAGCAGATGAAAGTGAACGGATCAGTTTGACAAGTACCTTACCTTGCATGTATATTTTGTGAAGAAAAAAGTGTTAGAACAGAAATCACATATCAACTTTGTGACAGTTAAAAATCTCATTTCAATAATTTAACTTACAATGCAAAATTTTCTCGTTTTTAATAATATTCTTCAAATAACTTAAATTTTTTTAACAAAACAATTCGATAGGCTGCAGAGTAGTATGTATATACTTATATTTTGTTGTTATTGCAATATATATTTCCCTGAGAATTCTAAATTGTACCACAAATTGTTTCGAATGCAGTGAATTATTATTATTATTATCATTATTGACGTTCTGTGGTCATCCCAGATACACACATGAATATTTCACAACTACTAATAGTTTCATTGTGGTACCGCGGCTAACAATAGAGAGTGAAGTGGTTGAGTGTGTTGACCACTTCACTTACCTGGGAAGTAGGATCAACTCCGGTGGGTCAGTTGCCGATGAGATTTCTGCACGGATACAAAAGGCTCGATTGGCTTTTGCCAATTTGCGCCACCTATGGCGCCGCCGTGATATCTGTTTGTCTATTAAGGGTCGCGTGTACTGCACAGCAGTCCGCTCTGTTCCACTGTATGGCTGTGAAACATGGCCACTGAAAGTGAAAGATATAAAAAGGCTTCAAGTGTTTGACCTCCGTTGCCCTAGTAGTATAGGGCGTATTCCGTGATGTCACCATGTGAGTAATGCAGAAGTTGGGTGTAGAGTTTTGGGGAAAAGAGGTAAGTCAGTTGACGAGGTTGTGAACCTTCATTGACTGAGATGGTTGGGACACGTACTACGTATGCCTAGTCACCGATTGCCTTGTCACACAATGTTGGCTGAGGTGGGTCCAGGCAGGAAAAAGCCCAAGGTGGCCAGACTGAAACATGATATCAATGTATGAAGTCTCTGACTGTTGGTTTAAGCCATATGGGATGATGCAGACTAGCTGGTTGGGGTCCACGGGACAAGAGGAACCAGTGGTTGGAGACTGACTCTAAGTGATCATATGGCTGAGAACCGATGTCAGTGGCGCAGATGTATACACACATTATCCTCATTTTAACGATGCTATACCTAATCTCACCATTTTCTCATTCTTCGTTTCTCTCTTTTCGTACTTTATATTTCTTTTGACTGCATTCACTTATCTTCATCCTTCGCCTCACTACCTTTTTACCTGATTTGCTGATATGAGGTGTGGCAACTCGAACCGTTAAGCAGTAATGCCTGGTCCTGTGTTGATAATGATGATGATGATGATGATGATGAATAGTTTCATTACAAGGGACACTCTTATCCAATCTACCAAAAGAACTTTAGCGAAAGTAAGAGCATTTCATCAGTGGAAGTTAACATTCAGACAGCTCAGTAACTAAATTTTCGTTAGTTTTGAAGATGAAAAGTCCACTACGAGAACACAAAACCGCCATCATCTTCATCTTTAAATATTTTTCATCATCTCAAACTCTTTAGGTTGTAAAAGCTCTACAAGTAGGAGAAATATGAGTTTTTCTTCTTCGCAAGTGGCTTAGTTGTATGATTATAGAAACGGTGAAGCAGTTTGCTAAATCACAGCTATCTTTCCTAGTCTTGTTAAGTTCATATACTTCTAAACAAAAACTATAGACACGATTCTGTCCTTATAGTTTCTTCAATATGTACACTAAATGAAATGGAGATGTTTGTCATAACTGTATTGAAAGCGGGTTAAAATGTAGTCTGTATTTTGAGATTAAGATGTGTCCATCACATGACAGCTTAAAATCTTCAGTAACTGAAATTAAACGTTTAAATGTGTAGTTTTGAAATAAAGACATTCCCAACGAATCATTTATCAGTGAATGACCAGTATGATTGTATAGTCTTCAGTAGTTGGCGCTGATGAAACTTTTTCCTTCATACTTGGCAATGCGGCCACTGACCAAAGTGACGAGGAGCTATTGTGCACTTTATAACAGTATCCGATATCAACGATCAACTGGCTTGAAGTTATGGACCGAAATTTTGTGTTTGTTGGCTCCATGCATGCATGACCACTTCATGAATGTAATGCAGTCCTACACTGTGTCACTAGGGAATTGTCTATCTTAACGGTCATTTGGCTGAATTCTGCACTGAGTGGTTCTATAAACAAAATTATGGTTCGAATTAAAGGGAATATACCAAAGGTTATTACGGTTTCACCAAGTGATCCACAATAGAAACCTCAGTGACGCCTTTAAAGTGAAGACAGGGGACAGGAGTAAGACAAGACTGCCGACTACTATCACCCATGATCTTCCTGACTGTGACCAACTGGATCATGCAGCAAACCATGAGGAGCGAGAAGACGGCGATATGCTGGCTGGATCGATAAAAAGACACCAGAAGAAGATTTGGATTTCGCCGATAATCATTTGTGTCTAAAGTCTTGTCACATAAACTCGAAGATCAGCAGGCGAAAACTAACAAGTTGGCAAAAGACGTGAGGTAGCTAAGTCAGGGCTTCAGGTGAATGTAGAGAAGACGGAGGTGATGAAGATACCCAATCAAAAACAACAACACGCACCAATCACCATGAATTGGAGAAACCTCAAGGAAGTTGTCTCTTTCATCTACCTAGGCAGCATCACTTCAACTACATGAGGCATGGGCAGAGACGATGTTGTCAAAACCAGCATTGGAAAGACAGTACGACAGGCTCTCCTTCATTAGTCTGAAGCCCCTGTGTAGATCTACTACACTCAGCACAAGTGACTACGTCCGGATTCTGAACATTAATCCAGTCAAGTCAGTGCCTCTGTGTGACGGTTGGGAAACTTGACGCGTCACGAAAAGCATTTCCAACAAACTACAGACATTCATCAACAGCCAGCAACCTACGCTCACTCGATAAAGAAGGTGAGATGGCCAGAATAATGCGAATAAGCAACAAGGAACACCGGCTGGCTGGCAACGAACCAACCAAGAACCTATCACTCAACAAATATGCAGAGGAAGAAAATGGAGATGGATTAGGAATACACTGAGTAGGCCCATTGGAGTAATCACGTGCCAGGCCGGATCGTCGATTGGAATCCAAAGGGGAAACGAGGAGTTGGGTGTCCGAGGCGACGGTGACATGGAGGAGATGATGTGAGAAAGAAATGAAAGATTGTGGGCAGTCGTGGAGCCAGGTTGAAAAGACTGCAGAGAAGAGAGTGCAATGGAGGCGTGCTAGTGAAGCCCTATGTTCCACTAGGAACCCAAGTGAAAAATAATATTATTATTATGGTTTCATCTAGACTTTATTGAAGGATGTCACCGATCATGAAACCAAGGTCCAGCAGAACTTTCTGCCAACTGATTCATTACAGTTATCACAAAGATATTTTACACCAGTTTCAACACTCTTTATTCATTTGTTTGAGCAGTAAATTTAAGATTTAAATCATAAGACATGATTTTCATACACTACTCAATTCAGAGTTAGTACTTGATAAAAAATAAACTTATGATATATTTAGTAGCCAATGAAGTCTATTGTAAAATTTGACATTAACGTTTTGTTACAATAGGACAACTTATACGTGAGAAAAAAATCCGGAAGGGAAGAAAAACACTGAAAGTTTCTATGAATAATTCAGATATTCATAAAATGTGACTCTGGACACAGATAGACTACGTAAGACAGGCTGATTTTTAATCCCAGTCAAGCATATCAGTTAGTTCCTCCTAGAAATATATGAATAATCCATTAGATACATGAACACAGATTTTATAAGTTTAGGGTATAGCTTAATATTTTTTTCCTCACAGTATTAGTTTATTGAAAATCTTCGCCATAGGAACAAGTCAAAAAAATTCCCTACTATGTTGTTTCTTTGATGTAGTCAGTACACAGCAATAGAGAAGCCTTACTAGATCATGTTTCGACAATAGTTCGCTGCTCATGTTCCTATCAAAGTAATCAGATGTCTTTCAAACTACACGTTTATTGTCCAACAATTTAATTATTCATTCTTTCATTCTAATACTAGTAAAATTCTACAGATATCTGCAGTATAACATGATGATTCATTCCTCTACATGTGTTTATCGCTGGTTGATTCAATAAACAAACATTCTGTCATCAATATCTCCACACACGTAGCCATATTCATATTCCACGTTGCACTTATCAACCAATCCCACTAAACACCGTGGTCATGATTCTGTCAATCCAGACCAGTGTCCAAGTATTTCCAATAACTCTTCACCTCAACAAAGTCTACCATTGTATGTTTCATCAAGATTTTGTGCTTCTCTGTTCCAATTGACGCTGATCACTAGCTCTGACTTATATGCTTGATGTGACAGTGATTATGTGGTGTTTGACAGATGAATCACTCTTCTCAAATGACTCTATTGGATTTTTCAGCTGGCGAAGTTCCTCTCTGTCCGACTTTGTGGGTTTAAATGCTACCCTAATTCCAGAATTGCAAGGAGTTCTCATGTGTTTTCTTCGTGTAGCTACACTGGCGAGGATGTGAATTCCCTCCTCGACATGTTGCAATCACCA